ACGTCCTGGGAGGCTGGCTGCTTTCTCTTGGTCTAGATTGTCAAGACTGGGCAAGGGCAGCTGGGCATAGACTACAAGCCTCCTGCCTCTGGCAAAGCCATCATCTTCGCTGAGGGCACTATCTGGGAGCGCCTGTGGCCCTGGTGGTCTCAGTAGTTGAGTAGCAGTCCTGGATGCCTATCAGGGGTGTAGGCTGCGAGGCCAAGGGGCAGCCTCCTAGTTGTTGGAGTATTAAAAGAAAGGCCCAGACATGAAAACTCTCTGGGAGGCCCCTGTCTTTTTGTTTGCTTCTCCTTATGAGCTTTCCTGAATTGGGACTGTGTACAGATGCACACAAAAAAAGGGAGGGCCTACTAAGGCTGTATTACCACTTCAAAGCACTTGATTAATCATTTAAAATGTCTGGGCTGTGTCAGGTAAAGGTTTCAAGTTCCAGGACAGAGGTGATGGAGGAATTGGGGCCTTCAGCTGAGAGGCCTCTGCTCACATTTCTTGCAGGTTTTTTTTGTCCTGGCCCTATGCCCCGAACCCCACATGCCCAGTGCTGCCCAGAAGCAGGTGGGCATGTCCAGGTGGCATGTATGAATGGCACTGCGAGGCTTGTACAAGCCAGGAGTCCCAAACTTGGGACTGCTGGTTGGTGAATCTGGTGACTCTGGAGAAGACCCCAAGGCTTGGTGGGCAGGTAGCTGGACACAGGGGCTGCATGCACGCTTCCAAGTATCTTCCATCTGTCTTCTCTGCTTCCAAAATAGAGTCAAGAAGGGTGGTGGGAGACTTTGCCTAGAAGCTGCTCAGCTCCTTCCAAAGTTGCCCTGCACCCAAGACTAACCTAGGCCTTTCTGGCCTGTTCTGGCTCTTGGGGTCATACCTGTGTGCACGTACACCCCCTCCCTGAACATTCCACCAATCCTCTTCACTACCACCACACACAGAGCACTGCTGCACTTGCATTCAGGTGGCAAAGCTCTGAGTACCTCCCTGGTGACTGGTACTGTCAGTGATGCTTCAGTGCACACGGGTCCCCTGGCTTCAAGGACCCAGGGACTCCATCAGAGTGGCCTGCATACTAGCTAGCCAGTCATCCAGGGCACTGTAGGAGCTCTTGGCAGATGGACCCACTGAGGGGCAGAGTAGGGGAGGAGCAGTAAGGCCCCCGCGGTGGGGTGGGGTGGTCCTGGGGCTGACTGGGCCATGTGGCTCAGTGCACCAGGCAGCCTCTGGACATGCAGGACTTCATAGCCTACATGTAGGTAGGGCATCTAGGAAGATCAAGTTGCATGCCAGGGCAGGACCACACAGGGTGCCAGGAGGAACTGTGAGGCCTTCCTTAAGAGCTCTCTCCTTGGCCACTCCAACCTCCAGACTTACCCTCTCCACACCCTCTTCCACCACCTACCTTTCCAATAGTTTGGGGTTAGAGGTTCTGGTGTCACCTAATGGCAAGGAAAAAGTCTGAAGGGTTTTGGAAGACTTGGTCATTCAGGGAATAATTGATAGGGTTTCTAACGTATGCACCAGCACCGACCGGCCCATCTGAGGTTGACAGCCCTTTGGTTGAAGTCCTTTGTCCTACAGCCAGACTAATTTGTAACCTCTATAAGCAGTGTCTGGGCATATTTCCCCAGATTTTGGAGCTTGGCATATGAAAGATGCCTTAGTAAGGACAAACTTGACTAAACTGAAGGAGAAAGGTGTTAGAGGAAGCAAGACTGGGACATTTTTGTTTCCCTGATGAAGGTCTGTGGTAAAACAGGAGTAAGCACAGGGCGAAGGAAAAGCAGTGAGGAAGACCGGTGTCCAGATACCTGTACCACAGGTTTGTCAACACTGAGTGATACTATGTACAGAAGGCCTTTGGCACAGCTGTGATCTCAGCAAATGGTAGTTTAAGAGAGGCTGTAGGACTTCTCACATGGTACCTGGGCTGGGTCTCAGGCCTGTATCAAACAGACTGTTTGTAGAGCTGGCAGGGAAGAGGGCCTTTCTGTCCCCAGGCAGCAGAACCAGCCCTCCAGCAGGGAGAATACAGTAAGGAATTATGCTGGGGTGTCCGCACCTAGTCTGAAGATGCCACTGCAAGATGATGGGCAGCTGGGGACTTGGTCAGGTCTTCTAGGCAGACAGCAGGTGAAAGCCACTGCCTAGGGCTTTCCTGCTGAGGTGACCTCTGGGTCCGGAATGCCCAGGGCCTTTCGTGGGTCAGGTGGGCTCTGGTGAGAGGACGGTCCTCGAGCCTATTCAGTCCCATGCTCATCCTGGTTCCTTTTCTATCCCAGATGGGCCTGGGCAAGTCTGGCTTACCCAAGGCCTTGGCTCAGATCCTGTGCCTATCTTGGGTAGTAATGTGTGCTTGAACAAGAGACTTAACCTTTTAAGCCTTGTGGTCCTTACCTGTGAAATAGGAATGCTGGTATTATCTATATTCAGGTACTACTATTAAGACTAAATCAGGTTAATGCACCTTATAAATGGGCTGTCTTCTCTTTCACTAGGCTTCCCCAGGGCTGGATCTTGTCTGCCAGACCTTAGAACAGTGCTGCTGAGTCAGGCCAGATGAAAGCAGCGACCTGAAAATTGCGCCACAGGAGAAAGGGAGGGGATGGCCTGTGGATGGCACCGCCCCAGTGGACAGTGTGGAAAAGCTCACTACTGGGGCACTAGGGTGGCTCAGTCAGTTACACATCTGACTCTTGATTTCAGTTCAGGAGTTTGAGTCCTGCATCTGGCTCTGTACTACTAGCTTGGGATTCTCTCTCTGCCCCTCCCCTTCTCATTCACTCACTTTCAAAATGAACATTAAAAAAGAAAAGAAGAAAGAAAGGCTCACTACTGACCTGGAGTATTCTAGCTACTACAGCAGACTCCAGAGAGAGGACTCGCCAAAAGAGGAGACATAAAAATATAAAAATAGATACACAAAAATAGAACTGAAAGAAGATTGCTGAAGGACCCATTTAATTTTTAAGATTCATGTATTCATTAACTTTGAAAAAGTTTAAAATCCTCACTGCTTATAAATGATTTTGGTGATGGTGGTGGTTTTGAGATTTTCCTAAAAGTGGCCACAGATGCTCTGAGGCCAAGGTTGACCATCAGCCATCTTAAGAATTTGCTGGGGCCCCTGGGTGGCTCAGTCAGTCGAGCATCCGACTTCGGCTCAGGTCATGATCTCACCATTTGTGAGTTCAAGCCCTGCATCAGGCTCTGTGCTGACAGCTCGAAGCCTGAAGCCTGCTTCGGATTCTGTGTCTCCTGCTCTCTGCTTCTCCTCTGCTTAAACAAACATTTAAAAAAAAAAAAATTATGTGCTTACAGGAAGAGAGGATGATGTCGGCTGCAAGTCCGCTGACTCCTAAAGGGTTGCTGGGGTCCTTCAAGACCTGTGAATTTTTTTAGCGCGCATATTTCTTAACAGAGCACTTAGCCCTGACAGGGCTCAGATTTCCAACCCCATTCTGAGAAAAGCTCAGATGCCAGGCTCCAGCCATCCCTCACACTTAACCAGGTCTTCACCCCTGCCTCCCATGGCTTTGTGTGAAAGTTAAGAGGCCGGGGTACATTCTGATCGTGCTCATTGCCCAGGTTTGAAAAATGAGGGTTCTTGGTTATTCTTTTAGGTGCCGCCAGTTCCTTTTTGGGGATGGCATAGCTGTATCTAAGGTACAGGATATAATGCTGCTTGGTTTATAAACCATGCACGGTCAGACAGTAATGGACACTTATCTCTCTAGCTGCCTTGCTGTGAGGCCACTTTGTTGGTTCCCTAGTACGGGATAAAAGTCATTAGGAAGAGGAGAGAAAGGAGCCGAGGCCGTCAGGCCTGGGCTTGTGCCAGTTCATTCTCACCCTTTCTCTACGTCCCCCTCCAGTGTATGTGGTGGAAGACCAAAGACGGGATGACCTGGGCCCATCCACCTGCCTCACAGCCTGCTGGACTGCCCTCTGTTGCTGCTGTCTCTGGGACATGCTCACTTGACCCAGCCCTCCGGTCCTGCCAGCTCTGCCACCGCCTTCAACAGGTGTGCCTGCCCCATCTCTTCTGACTGCTGAAATAAATGAAAATGACTAGCTCTGCACAGACACCTCTACCTTCAACACAGTGGGATTCTAGATTATTAGCAGGGGTTGCGCTGCTGTTTAATTCAGTGACTTTATCTTTCTGATGTTCAAAATCCATTTCTTATTGACCTTTCACAAATGTGCTAAATGATTTTTTATTTTTTTGGCCAAAGGCTTAGTTATAAAATATATATTTATAATTTTAAAATTATACATTCAAAGTAGTGACATGATGTAATCACACTGAATGATTTCTCTGCTAACACCCTGTATGTTTCAATAAATTTGTTTAAACCTCAACCATCTCAATTATTCCAGACAGGATACAAGCCCTGGGTTTGTCAGCTAGTATCCAGTGTTAGTATATGAGGAGGGGTCCATTTGCCTTTTTATTCCCCTGTGGGTAGGGGCTAATAGGAAGGCCTGGTCCCGCGCAAGAGACAAGCTCACCAAACTGTTTTATGTGCTTTTACCCAGAAGCCTAGGAAAAGACCTTTCAGTAACTGTGGGCTGCTCCAGAGGCTGCGTTTTCTGCTGTCCCCGACACCTCCCTCTACACACACACACCCAGCGAAGCAGCCACACATCTCAGCCTTGGCCGCAGGGTGGCGCTAAGCTGCCATAACAGCAAATCCATATCCCTTGGCTGGCAGCTCAAGTGGCCCTGAGAGGCTACAGCTGACAGATCTTGGCCTGCCCACCTGCACTCTGAAGCAGTGAGGAGCTCATAAATATTTAACTACCCATTCTCTTTAAAACAAAACCGTACTTTATCCATCACCTGATGACTGTGGCGTGTAAATGATCCCACAATAGCTGATTTCAAGCTACCAACTTGAAGCGGAGTTGGGAAGAAAAGTGCAGGAGAACGCCGATTTCCATCATCCAGATACAATAGACTGTTAACCTCAAAAACAGATAATGGCCAGATTTAGTAATTAGGAAGGGGCAAATCTGAATATTTATTACCCTTATTTTAAATATATTTACATAACTTGATTTTTAATAATTGGCTCTCCCGAGCCAGTACAAGCCAGCTCCAGCACACCACTGCCCCTAAGCCTCTAGGCAGCCTTAGGATTGTACTGTCCACCAGGAGACCGCCTGAAACTACATTTTCTTATGGAACATATGCGAGGAAGCACGGAAGGAATCTTTAGGCAGAATGCCACCAAGGTTGACTTAAATTCAGCTATGCCCTGGTCTTCCTTCTTCCTGATCTGCATGAACACTCAGAAGTAGGAGGATTTACTCAAAGGAACAGAAAGGAAAAAAAGAACCAGCAAAGGCTTCAATGCAAGAGGAACAGAGCCAAAGCTCTGGAGGAGGACAGGTCAGGGAGGAGCTAAGGTTGAAAGCCTCTGCCTCTCTGGCCCTCCATTCTCAAGAAAGGCAGACTTAGAGTGGGTGGGGGAACAGATTCCTTTTATTGGTCTAACCAGCATAACTAGTAGTAGGTTTGGGCAGAGCTCCCCTATTTCTCTGGCTCCCATCTTCCCTCTCCTGTAGGGCAGGGTGGCAGGCAAAGCCAGGATCAGAAAGGGATCAGGGTGAAGTAGAAAACACAGGGTTACCAGATCATTCAAATAAAAAGTCGATCAGGGCAGAAGAGAGGGTATTCCCCCATTCGGGCCCCTCTGCCCTTGCCAGGAATGAAACGGGGCAGGATGCTTTCACTAGAGGTTTCCTACTGTGCCCTTCGTGCCATCAGCATCTCCCGGATGTTGTCCTCAGCTTCCTTGACACTCCGCTCCAGGTAGGATTTTTTCTGCTGCAGTAGGACAAAGAAACCAGGGTTAGCAGGTATGGGCCAGGCTGGCAGATGCAGCTTTTCTGCCCATTGGTAACGGCTTCTCCTCTGTGAACACTGACACTCACTAGCATGTTGTCTCCTGGGGGCCTGATACACACACACCTGTCCAGAGTGTTCCCCTCATCCCACCCACAGGCATGAGGGAGGGAGGGGGAAGTTATTTGGTGCAGGAAGCAGAAGTGCTCTGTGGAAGGCAGCTGCACTCTTCCCCCAGAAGGAAGTGAACTCAAAACAGGCGTCTCAGTACATGAAGTTACACCAGACAGACAAAGGCCAGGAAATTCCAGGACAAAGCTCTGGCCGCATAACAGACTGTCTCTCAAGGTTTTCCATGGCCCAGGCCAGGCGCCTGTAGCCGCCACTGCTGCAGAACGGACTGCCCTCCGCTCTGTCCAGTGAGACAACAGGCTGCACGAGTGCTAAGAAGTTGTATCACACGTCTCATGGAGGCAGATGAGTCAGGATGAAGTCTGCTTTTCTAATGAAACCGCTGCCTGCCAGGAATCCAGGACAGTGACACATGGAGTAAAACAGACCTTTTGGATGTTTACCTCCCTATTCCATCTGGGTCCTAAATTAAAAATCTCGACGCAGGCAAAGAACTTAAACTTTCAGGAGCCACATCTGGGCCAGGATTACAAAAGATTAGTCAAAGGAAATGATGTCTGTACATTATTTGCCCTGTGGTCACCCCAAAAATATGGTGGCTTCACCACTGGTCCCTCCCCTGAGGACATACTTGTGGCTACAGTCTCACTTGACATGAAATGAGGCTCCCTTCTTCAGGAATACTCAAAATAATCCCCTTTCTAAGGGTGCATGTGACTAAGCCACACTGGAGTCAGTAATGCAGAGCCCTGACCCAGAAAGCTTAGATGCATCCAGTGCCCTTCTCTCACTCTCCCCTACACACCCTAGCAGCTGTGGATTCACTTTGTTCAAGTGCCCACATGACCTCGGAAAAGACTGGGCCAGAGAATAGGTGAGCAGCCTGGCCTGACAGGCCTTCCTTGGGAACTGATACCCAAACCACGGAGGCAGGAAAATCGAAATGAAGGCCTCTGCTGCTTGAGGCCTTCACCATTAACACCTCTCGTGCCTCTCTACACATCCCTGTGTCTTAACTTCTCCCACTCTGTCCAGATATTTATTACGTGAAATATTTAAGAGACTTTTTTTCCTATAGGCTCCAGTGCTGTGGCATCTTAATCACTTTTTATGGGAGCCTCTAATTCCTGTCTGGCTTCTCCTAACCTCAAACCTCCTGAAGGCCAGAAAGAGCCGTCTTCCCTCCTTTCCCATCTGTCCAACTTGTACACCATTCCTTACCAAACAACAAGAGCTCCATAAAAGTCACAGTGGCCACAGATGTATGCTGTTGCTAAGGAATTTATTACATTGCTGTACCTCACAGAGTCCTATCATTGTGATATCAGAATAGGAACTCAAAGTTCCTTTGATAAACAACCCCTAGACTTTACATGTGCTGACTTAGAGAGGCAAATAGTAATAACTCCTGACACACCACTGAAGAATGTACACGTACTGGGTGTTACACAGAAGGGGAGCAGCAGCTAAACAGTGAGGGCCATGTACCATCTGGGCACCTTCCCAGCCCAGGGAATCTAAGGAAAAAGCCAACGGGGCAAGCGGGGTTGTGCTCCCACAGCATCAGCTGGTGCCCAGGGACCCAGGTCCACTGCATTCCATCTCTGTCAACTCGCTGCCCCCGCTGGCAAAACTCAACAGCCAGTGCTTGAAACATCAGCCAGAGCTTCTCTACTTACTGTACAGGCCTCTGGACAAACAAATTCAGGTTATAATTCTAAAATTTTTTTAGTGTATAGAGAGACAGACAGAATGCAAGCCGGGGAAGGTCAGAGAGGGAGGGAGACACAGAATCCAAAGCGGGCACAGAGCCTGAACTGTGAGATAAGACCTGAGCCGAAGTCAGACACTCAACTGACAGGCACCCTCAGGTTATAATTCTCACCTTTAAAATTCATCATTCTAAGTTTCTTCTATCTTCCACTTTCAGTTTTATGATTTTTTTTCCAGGATTTTTACTTCATAACCTGAAGTCTTCAAGTTTCAAAAAATAATGCAAAATAAACTTTAACTACTTAAACTCTCTGCACATTAAAATTTTTATTTCAGGAGCACCTGGGTGGCTCAGTCTGTTAAGTATCTGACTCTTGGTTTTGGCTCAGGTCACAATCTCATGGCTCGTAGGATCAAGGTCCACGTGGGGTTGTGTGCTGACAGTGAGAGCCTGCTTGGGATACTCTCTCTCTGCCCCTCTCCTCCTCATGCTTTCTCTCTCTCTCAGAATAAAGAAGACTTTCTTAAAAATTTTAAAAATAAAATTTTTGTATCATCCTAACAGATGCGTCATCCCTAACAGAGAGGGACCTGTTTTCTAACTTTTTCGGTAGTTTCTGTCTCATACCTAAAGCCAAGAAGACCTTCACAATCAAACCTGAATCAGAGTATGTGATGTGTGCTGAATTGTGTCTCACAAAAAGATATGTTGAAGTCCTAACCCCCAGGACCCGTGAATTTGGCCTTATTTCGAAATAGGGTCTTTGCAGAGATAATCACATTAAAATGAGGTCATAATTAGGGTCGGCCTAAATCCAATGATTAGTGTTCTAAGGCCACATAAAGACAAAGGGACATGGAGACAGAATGCAACTCCTTGATAGAGGCAGAAAGGGAAGGATTAGCTCTAACCCAAGGAAGGCCAAGAAGGGTTACAACAGAAGCTAGGAAGAGGAAGGAAGGATTCTTCTCCAGAGGCTTTAGAAGGAGGGTGACCCCACAACATCTTGATTTTGGATTTCTAGCCTCCAAAACTTGTGAGAGAATAATATTCTGTTGTTTTAAACTACCCAGTTTATGGGGTGCCTGGGTGGCTCAGGTTAAGCCTCCAACTCTTGGCTTCAGGTCATGATCTCACGTTTTGTGGGTTTGGGCCCCGCGTCAGGCTCTGTGCTGACAGTGCAGAGCTTGCTTGGAATTCTCTCTCTCCCTATCTGTTCCTCCCCAACTTGTGTGGGCACTCTCTAAATAAATAAATAAATACGTAAACTTTAAAAATTAAACCACCTAGTTTGTAGCAATTTAAGAAGCCCTAGGAAACCATGAAATGAGGGATGCCCCAGAGAATAAATCTATGCAAAGTTCTAGGTACCCACACCTTCTGACCATACTGAATCCTAGAGGCCTGGATAAGGATTCCTAAAAGTACACTGGAACCTGTATTTCTCCTCCCAAAAAATGTGGTAGCAATGATTCAAATAGAAACCAGACAGAAAGGATGCAAAAAATTAAGGAAACAAAGATTAAGTCAACCTTGAATTTCTACATTTTCTTCCTAAAACTACTCACCAAACCAGAAATTTTGTGGACCTTAGTCTCCCCAATTTCTATAGATGACAACTCCATTCTTGCAAATTCTGAAAACCTTTAGTGTCACCTTTGAATGTTCCTTCTTTCACATCTGACATATAATCAACTAACAAACCCTATGAGCACTATATCAAAATGAATCCATAATCTGACCTTAATAAATAACCTAAGTGGTCTTCCAAGTTTATTTATAGTTTGAGAGAGAAGGCACAAGTGCACACATGCATAAGCAGAGAAGGGATGGGGGGTTGGCGAGGGCAGGGATAGAGAATCTTAAGCAGACTCCACGCTAAGCTTGGAGCCCAATGTGGGGCCTGATCCCATAAACCACAAGTTCATGACTTAAACCTATATCAAGAGTTAAGAGACGATGCCACCCAGGTGCCCCTCTTCTGCCCTCTGATCCTCTTCAGTTTCTTCTTCATATGGTGCTCAGAGTCCTCTTTTAATGCTCCAAAGGCTTTCCATTTCAAAGTAAAAGGCAAAGCCCTTTTTAAAAGCCATGTTTAGACTTGTTCTCAGCAGACTCTGACCTCAACCCCCTCTCACCCATTCAGCTCCAGCAACACTGGCCTCCACCTCGACTCTACACTGCCCCTCCAACCCACCACCATGCTCCTGCTTGGCTTTTGCACCTTGGCTCTGTTAGGAACTCTCTTCCCCATGTATCCACGGTACTTGCTCAATTACTCAAATGTCTCTTCATAGGGAAAGCTGTGATTATGTGGCAGCTACACTCTCCCTATTCTCACCCTGATTTGCCTGCACAGCCTATCACCCCTGGAAGAAGTAGTATTTATGGATCTTCCCTTACAAGAAAGGAAGGTCCATGTTTGTGGGCAACACTGTTCTGTTTGCTTATAGAATCCCAGTGTCTAGAAAAATGGCTGCTACATGGCAGGAACTCAATACTTGTTGAAAAAAGGTACATTATGGGAAACGAGAACTCACTGATTTACTTCTATACACACTGCTGCTTTGTAGTTCTCCCTCACAACTTGAATGAGGATCACCAACAGAGCAAGCAAAGGTAAAAACTGGCCATCTCCAAGATGGTTTTCAGTTTGGGGCATTGCCTTCTAGCCTCTGCCCCCTAAATATACATAGGTCTAAAACTCAACCCTCCCTGATGTCCATGGGAAAATCAAAGGCATGGCTTCCATAAACAGAACAGGCCCTAAGGTTCAGGTCCCTTGATCAGATCAACCTGTGAAACTAAGAAAACTATCCCAATTTCCCATGTCCCACAGTTGAAATCCTTGAGAAAATGTGCCAAGACTGGCCTGGGCTGCCAGGGGAATTATGACTGTTGTGTAAACTCCCAGAGGCCTTTCAAAACCACACCTTCCAGCAGGAGTCCCAGGAACGCATCTGCCACATCTGCTGGCCTCACTGCAGCATTTTGGTGTCTTGCTGAGCAATCTCCCACAGAACTCTAGGAAACTCTCTAGAGGAATCAAACCACAGTGCCCTGGATGCAGAGACATTCTTGTGGGACCTTGTTCTGGAGTGAAGTTCTGAGATTTCCTGTGGGGCTCAGCCGGCAA